CTGGCAGCTCTCCTGCCCTAGACGGCCGCTTTCCTGTGCCTAGTGCGGAGGCCATGGACGTTGGACGCCTCCCCCCAAACCTCTATGAAGACGATCTCCGCACTAGACCAGGTGGGCACCTGCCTCTTGCGGCCCCGGGCAGACTCCTGGGAGACGCCAGCCTGGTCCCGGGAAGAGGCGGAGGGCTGGGTAGCAGCGGGTGGCTGGCTCGTGCCGTGCCAGGTGCAGGGTCTGCTGGCTGGGTGCTGGCAGGATTGCACCTGGCACGGGCACTGTAACCAGACCATGGCCCTTTAAGGGCTCCGGGGCCGGGAGAGGGGCAGCTAAGTTTCCCTGGTTGTGCCCAGAGTGGCCACCAGGGCAAGCTGGGAAGGGCTAGCCTCCCACTAGTCCGAATTAAGTGGCTACACAGCCCTTAATTTGAACCACTTAATTCGAACTAGGCGTTAGTCCTTGTAGAATGAGGTTTACCTAGATCGAATTAAGCACTCCGCTAGTTCGAATTAAGTTCAAACTAGCAGTTTGCCTGTGTAGCGCCTATGAAAGTTAATTCGAACTAATGGCTGTTAGTTCGAATTAACTTTGTAATGTAGACATACCCAACCATAGTCAGGAGGTTGCCAGCATCTCTTTCAGGTTTTAAGCAAAATACAGGACAATGTAGCACTTTAAAGACTAACAAGATAGTTTATTAGATGATGAGCTTTCGTGGGCCAGACCCACTTCCTCAGATCAAATAGTGGAAGAAAGTAGTCACAACCATATATACCAAAGGATACAATTAAAAAAAATGAACAAATATGTCCTGCATTTTGCTTCAACTACCCCAGACTAACACGGCTACATTTCTATCACTATTCTACATTTCAGGTTTGGATCTCTCTGACACCATCCACAGCTCCAGACTGGACTGCTTCACATCTTTATTTCTCTGTAAACTGGAGATAGCACAGCATGCTTGGGTGGTGGTGTGAATCCCAATATGCCACAATCTCAGATGGCTGCTGTTGGCTTCCAAATGAATTTTAAGAATTAGATTTTTAAGCTCTATGGCTAAGGTCTTGCACATTTGAGACACTGCCTTTCTCCCAGTTCCATACTGCTGGAGTTTGCAGTCTGCAGAGGTATCTGACCTGGAGCACTGCTGCCACTAAAAATCTCTGTCTGAGCCCCTCAACTTTAGAACACAATCCTCTATCCTTGGTCTAACTAACCTGATGTGTTGACCTTAGATAGCGGTGCAAAACTCATCAGTGCCAGGGAAGAGAGAGAACAACAAAGAGAAGCTGTGATGGAATGGTGTATCTGTGTTCATTTCCTTGGCTGGATATTTCTGGCTATGGGAGTTGGACTGAAATTGCTAAATGTATAATGTATTAAAGAGACTATATTTTAAATATTTGGCAAGGATACAAGTGCTTGGGATTAATGCCTTTTGTTATACTGTACAGAACAAAATATAGATGACTAAGAAGTCTGGATGTCGCTGTCTATTTTGACCTTCAATGGTTTTTACTTAAACTTTTATTTCTCATGCGTCACTTGAGGTGGAATTCACAAGACTGCCGAGGGGATTTTGATTCTAAATTACCATTAATATTAATAGGAACTTTAGTATAATTGAAAAATTGAACCTCGTGGTATTTCTACAATATGTGGGCACTGCGGCCTGACTTCAGTGCCCCCTCCATGGCACATGGATGCCCATTCTGCATGATGGAAGAGCACAGCAGGCACTCTGCTCTTCAACCAAGCTGCAATTGCTGCCTGCTAGCAGCTCTTCAGAGTATTCTGCCCACTACTCTTCAGTGCCTCCTGTTGCTCAGCCTTCTTTGCCAGCATGAAGGTCTCCCTCATCCCTCTCCCCTTTTATATTCTTGCATCACCAGAATCACCTCTCCTCATCCCACTGCCAATTAATTCCTGTTTCCACTTTCCCTGCAATCTTCCTTCTCAGTGGAGAGTGTGTGTAAGTGGTAGGGAGGGAAAGTGAAATAAAAGATCAAAGATGTTCCCATCTACATTTATGTACAGAAAACATGCATGCAAATTCAACTGCATCACAGTTCTCACTTTCTATTCACATGTAGGACCAAAGATGTTCCTACTGAAGCCAAAGGAAGTTTTGTCTTTGATTTCAGTGGGAATAGGATTAGGCCTTGAGTCACTAAATGCTCAGCATGTGCCTGAATGAAAATGGTACACATTTATGGCTTTCAAAGTTTTGATCCACAATATATCAGTTCTGAAGGGTACAGTGGCTATGCACATTTTTATATAACTGACAGCTGTAGAAATATTTAAGCATCCAGCTTAACTCTGAAAAAAAAACTTTTTGAAATGTTATTGAGAGTGTGCATGCAGTGAACCTCAAGCATTTTGATCAAAACATAAATTCTGCCCTCTTTTCCATCATCCAGTATGAAGATGTCGTAAATCTCCTGGGCCCATTCTGCAGCCCAATATATTAAGAAGCATTAAGTACTTCAGGATTGGTGGTGTGAAACTATTTATTTTGATTATTTGTGTTTTTCCCCACATCTAGATACTGCATCTGTATATAACTTAAAATTTGTATCTACTTTTTCCATATTCCTGCTTCTTTCCTTTCGAAAATTCATAAGGTCAAAATATTCAGTTTCACTTATAACCCCATCTGATATTTACAACACATGCACAATCTTATTAGTCAGCAATATTTTTATTTATCTGCTGCTCTTTTTGCTGACTCCTGGCAGACAAGTAACAATCATCCCAGTAACAAATAAGCTTTTAAATGCACCAGATAGTACTACCTAGCTGTTGGTTTCTGTAATCCCTATAGCAGCTTACAATAAAAATATTTGTTGTTATAAAAATATACCTGATCTTCACTTATACTGAGCCTGACTCTCTTCCAAATTACACAAGTGCAATTTTACTGATTTTCATGCTGTTTTTCCTGACGTTCATTGGTATTCCATTGAATTATTCTGGTATAAATAACAGGATAAGGCAGCTCATTAAAGTTTCCTAAACAATCTTCTGTTGCTTAATTCTAAAACACAATGCTGTGGGTATCATAATGGGATATCCCGTCACTACACATTACTCATTGAACATGAGATAGAAGACTTAGTAAAGAAAACATGTTGGTATATCCCTGCACAACTCACACCTGACAAGTCTGACTGGAAATACAAACTGGGCCTTAACCAGCATTGGATACAATAAGAAATAGTAACCCCACACTTTCTGTGAGTGTGTGTCTTTTTAAAAAGCACCACTAAAATAGCACCACAAAACGTGTAAATTAAATGTAAAAAATACCTGAAACTTACCTCTTAGTTTACATTGATTTAATATATTTTTTCTTCTATTTTTCCATTTTCCTTGCATCTTGGGAATACAGTGGTTTTCTCCACCCACTTCCTTCCTCTCACCTCCTCCCCCTCCAATCTGGCCTCCTTTCCTTCCTGGGAGGTTTTTAAGCTTTAATCTGAGAGTGTAAAGCTGAAAAATATTTGATACAATTTGTTTTTAATTAGAGAATTGAGCTCCTCACCATTATTGATGCATTTGTGGGAACTGGACCAAACTGCTTGGAACTACTGCACCAAATAGCCACTGCTTCTTTCTTAAAACCATCCTATTTATTTTATTCCAGAGTACCACTGTAAGGTTATTTCAATGTTTTATCTGTACGCATTGCAATTTAGGACACTGCAGCTAGAAATTGGCCAGAATCCTAAAGTTCAGATGTGAACCTGAACCTCAGATACTAGAATTCCATTGTGGGCCCTATTTCCAGCTGCAACTGAAGTAGGAAACAACAGCTGGGATTCTAGCAGATGCTAGAATGTGATCCTAGTCTTGACCCGGTCACACTGGTTACAAGTCATATTTTTGTATGAGCTTAAGAAGACATTTGATACCAAGTTGAACAATGATTTTTCAGGGTCGGTGGGTGTTGTCCATTCTTTCTGCAGTAAGTGAATTACTTGAGGAGGTGGACATAAATGAGAGATTAAATTAATTTGAGTCTGAGATTGTGAGTAGTGACTGACTAAACACTTTGGAAAGGTTTCCCCTCCAATGGGCAGATACCTGAGCTTAATGGGCAGCTCATGAGCTTGGTGCTGAAAGATGCTAGGCAGCTTCAAGGTGTGCTGCGTGTCCACAACTCCCAGTAATATTGATGGGAGTTGAAGGCACTCACCATTTCCAGGAGCTTCTAAGCATCTTAACAGTTCAAGCACTGTATCTTGTCTGTGCTGTAAATGAGGACATAATGCTTGGTGATAGGGAGCAGTTTGTAACCTGGCCATATTTTCTTTGATATAAGCTTTCCCTGGTTCTTTGCTGGGTGATTCGTTCTCTCACACCATGCATAACTCACTTACTTCCTGGATGTTTACAAAGGATATAGAGTGTTTTATTCCCCCATCCTCCTTGATTGCTTAACCAAACTATTTACAATTAGCTCTATGCTCATTAGGCAGTCTCCAACTGCAAACTACTATCCTGTATCACCCACAGGTATCTTTCAGGATTACTGTTTTCCAATATATATGTATGTCTGCTTTGGATTAATTTATCCCAGATGCATTAGCTTCCAAACTGAATCTCACATAATGTTACTTTTTTGCCCATGCTTCTAATCTTTAAGTATCTTGTATTTTCTGTGCTCCCTGCTGTTTACATCATCTGCTGATTTCATTAACATGCTGTTTACTCCTGCTTAATATTATTAATGAAGCTATTAAATAAGGCTGACCTATTTCCAATCACTGTGGTACTACACTGAACAATTGATAATTTCCCATCATGAAAGCTCCTACAGTGACATTGCTCTAGAACGGACTTATAAACCAATTTGTTAAAACTACTTATTTTAATTTATTTTAATAGATTATTAATCGCAAGATTGGTGGAGTTTTATTCATCATGTTCCATAAAAGGTGTTTAGGAAGCCTGGTATAAAAAGACTCAGTATTTATCTAGTTGTGTGGCTACACTGAGGAAATGGCAGGCTGCAACTTTATTATTAACTGTCTGGAAATACTCAGCAGAAACAGCAAACACACCTATGGTCATTTCAATATCTACCTGGGGAGACTTCCATGAGGTCCTCCCTCCACACACTTTTCCATCCTGGTTATTAGCCAACCTATTTCCAGGATGATACCTGAATGATACCATGTCCCTGCCCTGGGTCCCTGCCAGGCCAGTCAAAGGAGTTCACAACCCTTCACCTCCATTTCCACTACTTTAACAAACACCTCCTTTAAATATGTTACAATCCATTTATGTGATCACTGTATCCCTTTATTGTGAAGTACCTGCACTGGACATTTGCCATAGGAAGATGCCAGCTATTAATTTGCTACCCACCCCCATACCCAGCTTTGTTCCCAGACATCTCCTAATGACTTCTATAATGTTGATCAAAAATGCGTCCATCCCGAAATCTGACAGACGAACCCCTTCATACCAGAATAATTCTGGAGCCCCGTATGCTATGTCAGGAAGTGAAATTATCAACACCCTTACATCCCCCAAGAATTTAGTCATAAGGGGTGGGTGCGAGGGGGTGTTCCCTGCCTGGTTTACCCTTATATACTCTACCCTGCTTCCGGTCAGGTCACCTAGAGAGATGAAGCAGCATACCTACAGTGGGCTGTACTAGTTTTCCTCCTTAGGTATTCCCACCTTCTTATCAGTTGCTGGAAGTGGGCCACATCCACCTTGATGGAATTAAGCTCATTAATGCTTTTGTAACACTCCCATCTCTGTATGTATGGATATTTCCCTGTCATCTGAATCTTTCACTTCACAAATCTGACAAAGTGATCTGCAGCCCACAAAAGCTTATATCCTCATAAAAGTGTTATTCTTTAAGGTGCCACAGGAATCCTTGTTTTTGTATACTGAAAGGTTTTTGTTTTCTCCTCATTCCACACTGCTGCTACTTTCCCCAAAGAAATCCAGATGTAGGGGCCATATTTCCAGTCAACAGAAATTTTCAAAGAGCTACACAGTTAAACATTTAGACAAACAAGTGAGTCCATACTATTCTTTTAAGCTCAGTATCAGTGGAACTGGAAGCCCCCCATAGATTGGAGCATCTGGAAAACATATAGATCTAGAACCTCAGACTTAAATTTGGATCAGGAGGAAGGAGAGAGCTGATGGGAAAGGAAGACCAGATATCTTTAAGCTCATGAAGTTTTTTCACATAATTCATTATATACTTAGATTTTGATGTCAGTGTTCTTTCTGCGCTGCAAACAATTCAGCAATTCAGTTTTATTCATAAAAAGCTATGCATAATGAAAAAAGTTCAATGCTTAAAAATTTGTGCATAAATTATGCCCAGTATTTCATCAATTGAGTGGTGCTTGGCACTCTGGAATCCCCTCTAGTTTTTTAATCATCATTTGTGGATTTGTAGAAGGACCAATGTGTCTTTAACTATGTCATGTTTATAATGACCATTATAGCTGCAAAACCATTTCTAATATGGGTTAGAAATAGATATCACATCTTTATATGGCTGAAGTGCTCTTTTACTATATTGGCTTGCTATTAACACGACATCTTTTCAGATCCATCTTTTATAATGACATGAAGAAAATCACAGTAATTGCCTAACAACCTTCATATGAGTTATATTTAATAAGCTTTGTTCATCCCTTTTCTAACTCCAGCAACTTCTGCCAAGAACAGGTTTATGTTGAACTAAATCTGTTAGAGTGCATAGTTTTAGTTAACATCCTTGGGGAAGCAGTGGCAACAAATATATTTAGTGATTTTAAAAAATTAAAGATGGAATGAAATGGCCTATAAAGGTAAAATAAAGCATATTCACTGAACTGTCTTAAATTAGGCTTACTGTGCTATTTTACTGTTAGTTCACCAGAAAAACAAGAATGAGTAGCATCTAAAATTCATATATTTCTTGGCTATGAATAGACATTAGTAGCATACATGGTAAAGAACATGTAATTTTATTTGTATTATTATTTATTGCCATGGTGCCCAGGGACCCGACCACAGACCAGAACCTCTTGTGCAACGTACCCTGAAAACACACAAAAAGACAATGACAGCCTCAGTAAGATTACACACTGTAAGCTTAAGATAAGAGACAAGAAGAGATACAATAGACAGATGGGATGCACAAGAAAACAACCAGTTGCCTAACAATTCCATTCCCTCTGTTGCATGCACCAAGATCACTGTGAAGAGGCATACAAACCCCACTGGACTGGAGGAGTTTGAAGCACCACAGTACAGAGCCCAAGTAGTCCTGCCACTGCAGCCATACAGCGCATGCTCCAACTACAGACAGGATTGAAAGGCAGCAATTTAGCTGAGGCTAGCTGGAGCTGACAATTTAGTTCTTTTTCCCCTGATCTTGGACCAGAAGCTGAGGGAGGAAAGCAGCAGCAGGAAGTAATCCCAAGGAGAAGAGAAAGTCAGAGGGCACCTAGGAAGACCAATAGCATTTGGCCTCCAAAGGCCCTGAGTCAAAACCCTGTGGAGCAGATGGGCCAGAGCTCCCCTCCCTTTGCCCTAACTTTGAGGACAGAGGAGCAGGATTGTTAACCACTAGACAACCCAACTGATCAAAGAGTCCTTTACTGTGACTTGAAGAATGTAAGCATACCTACTATATATTTGAAAGAGTTTGTGTGTCTGGCTGTCTGTCCATCCATGTGCAAGTCTGTTTGTTCAAGAAATCCTCCTAAACAGTAAGAGCTAGGACTACCAAATTTGGTATGCAGCTTCCTCTTATCATAACTTAAAGTCAGGGTTTGGTTGTGTCAGGACAATGGGATGTATATGGAATGCAGTTGTTTCTCATCAAACAGAAAGGGAGGAGTGTGATATCAGGGACACTAATGACCATCAGTAGCAAGAATGGTGGGAAGCAGTTAGAGTTCAGAATGACCACAGGGAGGCAGCAAGTGCTCCAGACCCAGGAAGAAGCTGCAGGCTAGCAGCATAGCTTCTGCCACCGTGGACTGTCCAGGGGAGAAGCCAGTGGGTGGACTGCATGACCCACGCATTTCCCCAAGCTCTGGGCCACCTCCAGGGAGACGCCAGCAAGCGCCTCCACTCCCAAACTCCCCATACCTCCCACACCTTGCCCTGACTTCCGCACCCCCACTCTCTACCCTGACTCCTCTACCCGCTATATCCTGCCCTACTGACTACATCACCCCCACACTTCCAGCCTCCTGCCCTGAGCCGCCCACATCCCCAAGCCCCTGCCCTGACTCCTGCATCTCCCACAGGTTCCCTGAAGAACCTGAACAATGCTGGGTACGTTTTCTAATCCATTATATAAGACTTCAGTTTATTCTGTTTTACAACACATGAGCAGAACACATTTATTTCAGTGTAACGTGATTCTCTTCCTACACCTTCTCCCTCTCCCCCCAGCCAAAAAAATAAGCTTCAAAAATTTCAATTCTTGGTACTGCCCTGACAAAGCTTTTTCTATT